CTCTGCGGAGGTGTATGCTTTAACTTTTAACATAGCTATTTCTGTGACCAGTCACAAGCTAATCATTCAGCCTTTTCAATGCTAAATTTTATGCTAATTCCTTCGTCAAGGCTCTTTGTTCCTCTCACACAGCTTAAAAGCCGTGATCTGAACGTGGCCCTCTCACTCCAGCGCTGTCCTACCAGACAGTCTCGCTCCCTTCACCTGATGAAGGCCGCTTGTGTTGTGGCCGAAACGTCGTGAGAATATTATTGTGTTATTTTATTTTATCAATTTATTATTTTATTCTCATTCTACGTGACTTTACCGAAAGAACCAAAGAAGACGTTCCATTTCTTTAATGCCACGCCATCATTAGTTTGACCATCGGCCATCATCCTTTCCAGCGACGTGTATCACCCACGGCCACTTACTTTTCTGAACATTTAAATAATCATGAGCGTCGTTGTGGAAACTATAATTAATCTCCTTATATATAAAACGCAAAGTTGTGATTATGTGTGTCTGTTCAAAATGTTTAGCGTACTTACCGACATGCAACAAACTTGAAATTTGCCATGTGGGTACTTCCAAACTGTATACAATGCAAACATTATTAAAATACACTTTTGTTTTTTTTTGGGGGGGAGCTCAAGAATGCAGATATTTTTTTTGCACGGCAAGTGAGCTGTGACGTCAAACCTGTCACGTGACCCGCGCATGTGGAAGCGTAACGCATTGTAGTGTAGCGGTTAGCGCTACGCTGCGCTACGAACCCAGCGACCCGAGTTCGATTCCCGCTCACGGCCACCACCGGTGACGATTATTTTTACCGGTCCTGGGACTCCCCTAGGTCGACTCAGCCTCAAACGCGTAACTGGTGTCGTGTGTGAACATCGCCACTGGGGAGACAAAGGCGGCCGAGCGTAGTGAATCCAAGTCCCGGGCGAAGCCGGGTAGTTAAGCTAGTACAATACAAAAGAAGACGTCTCTTTCACAAATGCTTCTCTCCACGTAAAAAATAAATACTATACACGCATTCCTTCCACAACCTATCAGCCGCACGGCCTTCTGTGAGTGTATAGCTTCCGCAGCATTGGACCGGTTTCGACGTTCAGTGTCTCATCGGCAGTTTTCAAACAATGACAAAAGCGTTCTCTTATCCGCCTTCAGCTGCGGATAAGAGGAGTCTCTTGGAAGTGGTCGCCATTGGGCGCTAAATTCATGCTAGTATCCGCTCATATGCATGCGAATGTGCAAGACTTTGTCAATCCGCAGCTGGATGAAGTCCCTCTCTCTCGCTGTCCGGATCGTGGTAGTTATTTCACTATACTTCACCACGCTGGTCAATGCGGGTTGGTGGGGGCACATATGTGTACAGGGCAAACCAACGATGGATGTTGCTGTTGACCACGTAGATCAGCTTCTAGCCGTGGATAATTTCGATGAGATCAGGATCTCTTCTCGTGGACAATAGGATTGGAACTCCCGTCAACAGTTGAGTCTGCATTGTCCGCCAAGGGCACTGCCCACCGCACCAATGCTGGAATCAGAACATGCGTTGTCAAAAGCGTATGCATTCCCCCCGAGACCCGAGTAAAACCTGATAATTTTTCGGCTTCCGTGCGTGCGCGTGTGTTTTCATCGCCCCCGCAGAACGCTATTATAGGGTTTGTGTGATTCGCATTCACAAACGCTTCAGCTCAGATTTCACGGGAGAGTCTTTCTTTGAGAGACAGGTGAACGAATGCATTAGAGAAGACATGCACTTATAGTTTATAATTGGAACGGTTTGAAAGAATAGAAGCCACGTCGATGACCCGCGATGGTCAATGATAATGATGACGCGAGTGGCAGCCAAGGAATAGAACGCACATCCGAATCAGGGCGGACCTCGTGTGCAGTTGTTTGATTTTGCAGATAGATTGATAGAATCGCGGGGGTTTGCGAGAGTTGGCAGCGGTGGCTTGGAGAGGACTTCATCCAGCAGTAGATTGGACCATGGCTGATGAGGAGGTTTTGAGATGTACGATATGATGTGATATTAATGTTAACGATGTGAGTTCCTCGTAACTGTCTAAATATGACGCTTTTTTATATACGAGATACCCACGCGTCTTTTTTGTATGTGACCGTCCGTCCCTCGCTCCAGCCAGCCAGCCAAACTTGTTTTTAAGTACTACACTGTAGTATGATTGTTTGTGTGCCTTGGTTAGATAATCCTCTTCATCCCCTACGGGACACAAGGCCGCAATGAGCTCCCTCCACTTATTCCTTTCCTTTGGCAATAAATGTTGAGCCCCGCCCCAAGAGAAGCTGATCACTGCTGCGAGCTCCTCCATCTTAGTGCCAATTTTTGGTTAGGGGCCGTCCATAAATGACGTCACGCGATTTTGGACGATTTTTTACCCCCCCCCCCCTTCGTCACACGGCGTCACAAAAACTCAGACCCCCCCCCCTCAAATATGACGTCACAAAGCTCTGCCCCCCCCCCCCAAAAAAATATAAAATATGCTTCAAATCGCTTTAAACTATTGCCATTTTAAATTTTGATTTAAAGCTTTCGTGACTGCAGTAATTCATATTCGTAGCTCTTTCGGTTAAGTCACGTTGAAGGGAAACAATAAAATAACACAAACGGTCATCATCATTGCCGTTGGTTTTCACACCTGATGATGACCGTTTGTGTTATGGTCGAAACGTCGTGAGAATTTGTATTGTTTTATATATATTTTATTATTTTATTGTTTCCCTTCAACGTGACTTTACCGAAAGAGCTAAGAATATGAACTATTGTCATTGTAGTGCGTATTTAATGTGGCGCTGCACTCTGATGTTGTAGGAGAAAATATTTATTAAAAAGTATATTTAATAAAGTAGAACGTGTTGTCTATATTTATTTAAAGTTGCGCATTTTGATGTGACGTCACATTTCTCACCCCCCCCCCGTCACACATTGTCACAAATGTCTGACCCCTCCCCCTAGATGCGTGACGTAATTTATGGACGGCCCCTTACACAGTCCCGGTACATTCTGGGAACACGACCGAAGCATTTGTGTGCATTGCTACACTCTGAAGGCCAGCATTGGCACGAGGTGCCTTTAAAAGTTCTTCAACTGAAGTTCACCCAACAAATACAGTCGGTCTGCCAAAACGATTCCGTTTATTGCGACTTTACGATCCGTAACGCTCATAACGACGCACAAGAGATGTCAGTTACGCAAGACTGTTTACATTTTACAAAGGACAACGAATCACAACTGCCTGACACACAACTGCCTGACACACACAACTGCCTGACACACAACTGCCTAGCACACAACTGCCTGACACACACAACTGCCTGACACACAACTGCCTGACACACACAACTGCCTGACACACACAACTGCCTGACACGCAACTGCCTGACACACACAACTGCCTGACACACAACTGCCTGACACACACAACTGCCTGACACACAACTGCCTGACACACACAACTGCCTGACACACAACTGCCTGACACACACAACTGCCTGACACACAACTGCCTGGCACACAACTGCCTGGCACACAACTGCTTAGCACACAACTGCCTAGCACACAACTTCCTAGCACACAACTGCCTAGCACACAACTGCCTAGCACACAACTGCTTAGCACACAACTGCCTGACACACACAACTGCCTGGTACACAACTGCCTGACACACACAACTGCCTGACACACAACTGCCTGGCACACAACTGCCTGGCACACAACTACTTAGCACACAACTGCCTAGCACACAACTTCCTAGCACACAACTGCCTAGCACACAACTTCCTAGCACACAACTGCCTAGCACACAACTGCCTGGCACACAACTGCCTGACACACAACTGCCTGACACACAACTGCCTGACACACAACTGCCTAACACACAACTGCCTGACACACACAACTTCCTAGCACACAACTGCCTAGCACACAACTGCCTGACACACACAACTGCCTGACACACAACTGCCTGACACACAACTGCCTGGTACACAACTGCCTGGCACACACAACTGCCTGACACACACAACTGCCTGGTACACAACTGCCTGACACACACAACTGCCTGACACACAACTGCCTGGTACACAACTGCCTGACACACAACTGCCTGACACACACAACTGCCTGGCACACAACTGCCTGGTACACAACTGCCTGGTACACAACTGCCTGACACACAACTGCCTGGCAGTTGTGATTCGGAAATCGCTTCGGAAAGCCCTCATTGAATAGGTAATAACAATTTCTATACATCTGTCATAACTGCGGTTTTTTTTAGACATACACTTTTTTCTGGAAATAACATAACATAGCAAATGAGCCTCGTTATTCGCAATATAACAACAATATTATGCAAACTAGTCGAAACGATTATCGTGGGCCATCATTAAGTTCCATGGGGAGGGGAGGGGGGGTGACCATACTTCACCACGCTGATCGGTGTGGGTTGGTAAACGTGGGGTTTTGGGGGGGGGGTATAACCGGTTCTGATTTCACTCGCTGCTGATGTTCGCCGCTGTTTAGAAATCAAACTCGGGTCACCTTGTGCATCAGCAGCTCAGCGCGCCGACCACCCGTTTGTTGTTATTATCACTACGTCGTAAGTGCGATACAATCGTGGTGGTAGTGGCATCGCGAGAGAGCCAGCAGATTGCTGTCCTTCCCTCCGCGCCTCCGATGAGCACGGTTGGCTACGTACGGTGCGAAAGAAGTTCAACGTACGTACGCACACCGTTGTACCGAGGGTGCTTAAACAACAACAACAAAAAACGATTTAACACTTCTGAGAATTTGCAACAACGCCATCGTGACACGTGCTGCTGCCTCCGGGCTCTTGAGACCACTTTGAGAAGATTCCAGGCCACGTGTTTACCAACGATGGCGAAAACACGTGGGGGAGACTCTTTGGACTTGTTTTTTGACGCTGTTAACATTACATTTCGAAGCGTCCTGTCTGTGTGAGACCCCTGCTGCCACGGGCTCCCTCCTCCTCCTCCGACAGGGGAGGATGAGGAGGAGGAGGAGGGAGCGCCTCACCCCACAGCACACACGGCTCTTCGCCACCCTGATGCAGCGTGCGCGCGTTGTTACCCCAGGCAACACACGTGTCAACACACGTGGCAGGAGACACAACGCTGACGCCGTCACTCGCCGCAGAGGTGCGGAGTGAACGATAATAGAACGGACTGACCCTCTCTCTCTCTCTCGTTGTTGTTGTTGTGCCACTCGTCGGCAGAGATCTGACCTCATAGTAAGTGCGCCGACATTGTTATTATTATTAAATGGTCGCGAGTTGCTGTTGTACCACGCGTGATCCATTTACAGATAACCCACGCTTACAAATTCCTTTCGCTTCCGCTCGCTGCACAAACCACCGATTGAGTAGGCGCGCGTGTTCTTGTCAAAGCTGTGGCTTCCGTATCTTGAACCGCAGATTGTTGTTTTATTTTTTCAACCGATGTAACATTGAGTGTGTTTGCAATGATCCTTGTGGGAGCAGCTGTAAGAAGGCTCTGAGATCACAACGTGCTGCTTTGTGCGTGCAGTCTGTCAATTACTTGGTGGGGTGTCTGTAAATGGATCAATCTGTGCACGTACATTCCCGGATTGTCCGTGTGTCGTGGTGTAGAATCCGTTGTGTGTGTGGTGTGTGTGTGGTGTGTGTGTGCGGTGTGTGTGGTGTGTGTGTGCGGTGTGTGTGTGCGGTGTGTGTGGTGTGTGTGTGCGGGGTGTGTGGTGTGTGTGTGCGGTGTGTGGTGTGTGTGTGCGGTGTGTGTGTGTGTGCGGGGTGTGTGGTGTGTGTGTGCGGTGTGTGGTGTGTGTGTGCGGTGTGTGTGTGTGTGTGGTGTGCGTGATGTGTGTGTGATGTGTGTAGTGTGTGTGCTGTGTGTGTGGTGTGTGTGGTGTGTGTGTGTGGTGTGTGTGCGGTGTGTGTGTGCTGTGTGTGTGCACGCGGGAAGGGGTGTGATAGTAGGAGTAGTCTTTCACAATATGTGCTGCTTATAAGAACGCGTGTCTTTTTATGACATTTAATTTGCTTTTAAGGTTCTAAGCTGAAGCGTCTTTCTATAACCTCGAAGTGGATATGGTAGACATACATTTAAAAATAGGCTACTGTTTATTCGTGAATACCTTAAACAACAAGAAGATATATGTTTTAAAACGCAAACTTTTATTATTATTTTCCTGTACATGCGTACAATTCGTATTATTCCGATACGATGTTTCGGATAGTTTGGCAGGAAACCTACAATACAGCTCTGTAGTGTCAGGATGGAGGGTGGGGGGGAGTGAGGGGGGGGGGGCTGGAGGGGGGGGGCTGGAGGGGGGGCTGGAGGGGGGGCTGGAGGGGGGGCTGGAGGGGGGGTGAATCCCCCCTGCTGACAACTCAGCCCCCCCCCCCCACTCTAATCTGTCAGAGTCGCGTCAGTCCCGTGAAGCCAAGGGCATAGCAGCCTCTACTCATTGACACTGGGTGAGATCCCTGGCAGGACTCATAGCGGATAGAATCAGAACGCATCGTGACAATTAATCTCATTGGCGTGTCAGATTTGCCACGGTGGCTAGGAGATGTTAACCGCCTCGCTTGGTTTACAGGAGGTCGTGGGATCAATCCCGACCCTGATGCCTGCTGTATATTTGGAGTTTGCATGTTCTCCCCATGGTCGCGTGGATTTTTCTCCAGGTCCTCCGGTTTTTCCCTCCACATTTATAATCAACAAGCGTTTAGGGTATTTGGCTGCTATACATTCCCACTTGATAAGCCACCTTTGTCGAGCTATTATTTGTGGCCAGATCGCTTGTAAAAAAACAGCTACATAGTTCAAGTAGGCCTTACCTGGTAAAATATAAAATAAGTAGTTTACGATTTGTTGAAAGTTTGCTAAGTGTCTGCTGTGTTGTGCCCCCCCTGAGTTTGATTATGATCGAAAATGGAGTCCTCTTCAAACAAGCTATTAAAAACCTCTCTGGCCCCTCTTATGTGTTGTGAACAAGGTCCATTGCCCAAAATCTCGCCTATTCCTGTAAAGACTTTTTGTGTTTAAGGCCACAGTCTTATTCCCTGAATGTGTTGAGTTTGTGTTGTGGTTATTGTGCATGCTTACCACTGCCAACGCAGCAGCAGCATCACCAAATCATTTCTTTCAACAAGCTATGCTCATTTTCATGTTGTTGCTGCTTGTAAAACGTGACATTTTGCTCAAGGCAATGGGAATTACGTGAATGCCAAATCGCGCTGTGTGTAACTTGACCTGTGATCTGCGCCATGTGCGTATGGCCTCATTCTATGCAGTCATTTTCTGTGCTTCGTTGGAGCAACCTTCGTGCACACACGGTCGCAGCAGACCGAACGTTACCCGGGGAACCCTCCGTGTCCTTTTAGTGCATTAAAAAAACACACACGCGCAATAAGAGCCTCGTTTGAATTAAAAAAATGCAAGTCAAGCCACCACGATCCGTGTTTATTGTTATCATCTGCATCATAATCATCATCGTCGTCGTCGGAGAAACTTTGGGAAGAATGTGTAAGGGAGGGCCAATTTTGGTATTTGGGTTTTAAATATCTGAGCAGGTAAGTGCGTGCGACGTTGTTGCAAGTGGTTTTATTGGACCGTAAGGACGGGGTAAAGGTTATTTACGATGAATTAATATTTGAGAAAAAATTTTACTGCTTGCGTGTCCAAATCAACAACTTACATTACGGTCTGACCCATTGATTATGGGCTTTTGAGGTAATGATTAAATACACACGAACATTTTTGCTTTGATGAAATACAATTACACCTGCATTACATTGTTTCGAGCCCTTTGTCAATCCACTGCTAGACAAAGGCCTCCCTACGCATTGTTGGTTTGATCGCGGTTTTTTTTTCCTTATATATACTTCATGACGTTGAGTATCGTAGGTTGGTGAGGAGGGGCCTAAGCCGTCACCGCTGATGTTAGCCCTGGCCTGGAATTCAACTCAGGCTGCTGGGTTCATAGGAGGGGGGGGGGGGTGGCGAGTCAGGTTCAGATGACACCGCTGATGTTAGCCCTGGCCTGGAATTCAACTCAGGCTGCTGGGTTCATAGTTCATAGGAGGGGGGGGGGGGCGAGTCAGGTTCAGATGACGTCGCTGATAGTCTCCCTACGCCGTGCCAGTTGTAGGGTTTGTCTCACCGCCACTCGCCACACTGGTCAACGCAAGTTGGTGAAGGGGAGGCCAGAGAACCGGTTCAGGTATTGCTTGTCACTGATAGCCGTAGACGTAAATCAAACTCAAACACCTCCGATTAGCACGGTTGGCTACGTACAGTGCGAAAGAAGTTCAACATACGTGCATGGACACAGAGCACATTGCACAAACCACGACGCCACTGCTCCATCCAACAAGACGAGTGGAAATCAACACGTTCAGTTGTGGCAAACTGGGCCACTTCACAGGATAAGTTGCTTGAAATATATTTCTATGGGACCAGGAGACTGGGTTTCATGCTGTATAAACGAGGCTTTGGGCTGAAGCGATATCATGATAAACAACTATTGTTTTGCCCAACGATCTTTGTTGTGCCAAAGCATAAAATGTTGTTTTTCCTGTTACATTAACATATTCCGCTGCTGTGCGTTGTGTTGCCTGTTACATTAACATATTCCGCTGCTGTGCGTTGTGTTTCCTGTTACATTAACATTATTCCGCTGCTGTGCGTTGTGTTGCCTGTTACATTAACATATTCCGCTGCTGTGCGTTGTGTTCCCTGTTACATTAACATATTCTGCTGCTGTACATTGTGTTCCTATCAGAAATGGAGACGCAAGAGGAGGCTCATGATGTAGAGAAAGGAGCTGAAGGGGAGGAGATTGTCTCGAGCCAGACTCCCGATAGACAGAGTGCAGCCACAAGGACGTCAGGTTCGCCCAATAAGTAGAACCGGACAATGCCATTATTCAAGCAATCGACTACTCTGGATTTTTTTTGGGTTCAACTGCTTGTCTAATCTCATAGCATGAAAACAGTTGTAAAGTGTCTCGCATCTTTTCCCACGTTTGGATGGGAGATGATACGCCACATCACGCCACACTTCTAGAGGGTTTCTTGCTTTTCGGAGGCAGGATATTGGGGGGGGGCAGGGGGGGGCACTATATTTTTTTAAAGGGCCCTGTTAGTTGACCACAAAAAAGTAGCCAACAATAATTTGAGTCGATTAACCGACTCATCGTCTCAGCCGTACCACTTAACACCAAAATAATAGGACTACTGAGGTGGCGCATTGGTTAGCACACCACACCCTGAATCTGGTCACCTGAGTTTAATTCCCACCTCTGGCGATTGATCTCTAAACTGGCCCGGGGTACCTCCTTCGCAAACTCGCACTGACCAGCATGGTGATGTGTGGTTAAAAAACAAAACCCCACTCGGATCATCAATAGGGTGAGAGATGTCTTTCACCTAGCAATAGTGGGTGGATGAAGGGTTACATTATAACAGAACCCTCGGGGTCATTTTGGGACTCCCTCAGCTCGCAGAGCGTTCCGTGATATCTTTGCACAGCCCTAGAAGGGTGACACCCTTACTTACTGTACGTACATACAGTTCAACATAAATACACGAGAGAACTGCTCCGATTAGCATGGTTGGCTACGTAAGTTCCACGTGACATTGTGGACACACTTCAATAAGCTTCTCTTACACAACGCTAGATGGCGCGCCTTCGTACTCTGCAAAGAGTGTTTCGCCAAACAACAACAACAACACACATCTGTGTGCATTTAAAACGTATCTCCCTCCAGTATGGATGACTCAGAATAAACGAGGCGCTCTCGTTGGATCGCTTCACGATCGGATGATGGAAAAGTTTAATTCCCAGTCAGTGCTTGACCCAACCCATCATCCCTCTCTGTGGGTTAGTTCAGTGAGTACCACTTTCTTTTTTGGTGAAGTCCACAGCGGTTGTACTCTGATTAAGAAAAAAACCTTACTCCTGCCATAGGAATGCGGAACTTCCACCACTGACGGTAAACAGGAGATTGGTGTACGGGAAACCACTTTAACTTCCAAGCTTGTTCGTATATGTGTCTGGGCTCGGGGCCATCATGCCCGCTGCGTGTGAAACCCCGGGTTTAATCGCAGGCTCCCGCCACGGTTCCATCTCCATGGTTGTATATCGTTTCATTTATCCGGAATGGCCATTTCGATCCCTCTGTGCCACCCGGCCACCTCAATTAAGGCATAGGAATGGTTTTCCGTGAGCTTTTTGCACAGACTCAACTCATTGATTGCCGTCAAAGGCACTACCAAATAAAGTTTTAAGAAAAGATAGGTAATGATGATGATGAGCGAGCATCGCCGCTGTCATCATTACATGTGCAAGCATGTGCGTAGTGTGTATACAAGAGTGTATGTGCTTAGTGGAGCGGTCAGCGCGCTGTGCTATGAACCCGGCGACCCGAGTTCGATTTCCGTTCACGGCCAACACCGGTGACGATTATCTGAACTGGTCCTGGGCCTCCTCGTAGGTCGACTCAGCCTTAAATGAGTGCCTGGTGCTGTGTGTCAGTTCTGGAAAGACAAAGGCGGCTGGGTGCGGTTTTGGCTTGGCCACCCACCCTCGTGTACCGTGCTGGCCTTCCTAGGTGCTCACTAATGAAGCATTTACCCCAACATATTCTATGGTTCTTTCGGTAAAGTCACATAGATAGAAAAATAATTTTAAAATAACAAATAATAAACCCACTAATGTAGACTGTAGCCTGGTTCTTAATCCGAATACGTTTCCTGGCAATCTATAATGTAGACTGTAGCCTGGTTATTAAGTTTGGTGAGTGTACTGGCAGTCTCTCATGTAGACTGTAGCCTGGTTCTTAACCTCGGTGAGCATACTGGCAGTCTATAATGTAGGCTTTTTGTTATTTTATTCACTTTATTTTTTTATTATTATTTTTCTATCTATTATTGACTTAACCGAAAGAACCAAAGAATATGAATTCCTGCAGTCACGAAAGTTTTAAGTCAAAGCTTACCCCAACAGTCGGTTAATACGTCTACATGGGAGACATTTGTCTGTGTGCATGTAGGCCTACTCATTCCTGTGTGTTTGTGTGCTGTACGTTCCTATGGGGACCCACCCCGGGACCCATCCCCTCATGTGCCTTCATAGGTGCTTGCTACTCGCTAACAGCACTTGCCCCAACAGTCTGTTAAGGCTATACAGGGGATCTTTGTCTTTGGTGGTGGTGGTGGTGATGATAGGTGCGCCACGCTATCAGCTCTTGCCACAACAATCTGTTAAGGCTATACAGGGGACCTTTGTCTTTGGTGGTGGTGGTGGTGGTGGTGGTGATGATAGGTGCGCCACCCTAGCAGCTCTTGCCACAACAATCTGTTCAGGGCTATACAGGGGATCTTTGTCTTTGGTGTTGGTGGTGATGATGGGGGGGGGGGGGGGGGTGGGATCTTCGTCTTTTGTGTCTGTGAACGCAACAGGCACGCGCCACCGCGCGTCGTCGTCTCGCCCTGGAACTCAGAGCGAGGCGGAGCGCCAGGCGCGTCTCATCGGGCAGCTCAAGGCGGCCGAGGCCAGAGCTCGCATCCGCGCCCTGCGCCTCCGCTACCAGCGCATCCGCGTGCGTTGTTCACACCTCACCCCCTGCCGAGAGGCGACGCATTCCGTCCCATTGACGCGTGCGGCAGCGAGCGCCAATGCCGAGGTCTTCGGTGGCGTTGGCGACATTATCAGTCGCCGTTGTCAGCTCAGAGGGTGCGGCAAATCGGTCAGGTGGGGGTGGGGGGCCCAACATTTCATTTGTCTCTCACGGTCACACCTAGGCGATGTATCACGGCTCCTCTTACCCAATCACATCATGACATCAGTGTTTGTTCTTTGACACGCATCTCATGGTGGTTGTCAAGGGGGGCCCAACTTGGACCTTTGGCCACCGAGTGGGGGGGGAGGGGGGGTGGGAGGGTCAAGGCACCCCCTGCCCCTGTGCTAGTTACGCTACTGGGAGGTCTGCTGAACGGTAGCTCATTCCGCGTTCCCACAACACCTGGGGAAGGGAAGCTAAGCCGGCACGTCTCACAAACCGGACAAATTGGCTCGGCCCGAATTCCCGCACAGTGGCGAGATGTTACCAAGTAAGGCCCGACTGAGCTGTACAGCTCTTGATCAGAAGTGGCCTGGCCACAAATGATAGCTTGACGAAGTGGCTTGTCATGTGGAAATGTATAGCAGCCAAACACTCTAAGACGCATGTTTGTAAATGTGGAGGGGAAAAACCGGAGGACCCCGGAGAAAAATCCACGTGACCACGGGGAGAGAGAGAGAGACACACACACAAACTCCAAATACACAGCAGACGTCAGGGACGGGATCGATCCCATGACCCCCTGTATACCAAGCGAGGTAGTTAACGTCTCCCCACCGTGGCACCGTGTATTAAACATACCACGCAGTAATGTATTTTTTAACTTTGCTGCGTTTTGAGTCATTCGTTTCATTTTTCTTTTGTTCCATTTGTTTTATTGTGTATCCAAGAATATTGTAATCAGACGATAAAAGAAACAAAGCGTGCGTGTTCCTATTCTAAATATCACGTTGCACTTCATGAATTGTTCAGATGTATTTTTTTTATTAAATATACATTTATAGAATTTACAGTGCTTATGCCATCCCGGTCTGTAAACTCACAACACCTTGGGCAGCTCCGTGCTCTGGCAGGGCATCTTTTGCTTCCACCCAAATTGTGTGCGTAGCAGCAGATAATCACCACGGTTACGTCTCAAACACTTACTGGCAAACAGCAGCTGTTGTTGTCCTGTACAAAGTGTAAAGGTCAAGGAATTCCCTCCAGAGGTGGACGAGTGATCGAGGGACTTTTACATACAGCGCAAAAAGGAGTTCAACATACAAAATAAACCACAAGAGCGATACATCAGCACTCCCTAAGATCCTGGAATTTAAATCCAGAATTTAGCCATTCATTATATATATCACTGTGTAACAAAACAAACATTTTGTTCCTGGGTAGCAAGTGTTATTTCCTAATTGCTTATGCCTCAAAAGTACAGAAAAAGGCTATTATTCCCCACAAACTTTGCTTTTGTGACCAGGACAGTGATATTTTGAAATGTACCTATTTTCAATGAGAAAACGGGCGAATTTGTGTCATTCCTTCACATAAAGTCCTGGTCACAAAAGCAAAGTTCGTGTGGAATAATAACCTTTTTCTATACTTTTTAGGCATAAGCAATAAAAAAAGAACACTTACTACCCAGGAACAAAAATTGTGTTACATCGTGAATTATCAAACTGAAACTTCGTACATTTGTCAACAACTCTGCTTTAATTGTATATATATATATCTCTCTAATATGTGACGTTTCTGACAGTGGCCCTTCTTCATTGCATGTAAATAGCACGCCGTGTGTGCGATGAAAGGCCATCGCCTGAATGTGTTGAGTATTATGTGGGATTGCGTGCACTACTGCCAATGCAGTATCACCAAATATTTGGTATAATCATAATGAGTTCATTAATGTAGCAGGGTGATAGTCAAAGCTGAGTTATCAAGAATACATTTACTTCATTAAATTCATGCCAGTTCTGAAAATTGCACATTTCAGTTTGACATGTGTTATACGCCCCTTTGCGGAACATATGAAAGGTATATCCTTCGTGTGGAACAAAGAGAGTTTGTTGAAGTGACTTCAGGAGTAGTTTTGTGAAATCATATTCCAGGACCACGACTCTCACCGTGACAGTTTTGAATGGCATCATTGGAATGAACGTTGCTTGGGGGGAATGTTTTTTTTTTCAGCAGCCGTCAGAATTCCATGTTTTCATCGGCAGGCGAACGAGATCAACCACCTTGTCGCCAGCCAGCCGACGGCCACGAAGGCGATGCGCCTGGAGGCCCTGCTACCAACCAAACCGAGCTCTCCAGAGCCTCCTGACCCGCTCGATAAGCTGCAGGTAAACGATGTTTCACACGAGCAGACGTACGCCTTTGAGAGTCAATTAATTCGTAACTGAGTGGGTGTGTTGTCTTGCTGTAAGACATGTTACGTTCCCCAAAGTGTTCGGCTGCTTTAATTTGGCCATCCATGCCTAAATTTAGAAATGAAAAGCAACATATCAATGTGCCTGAAGAAGAAGCAGGAGGAGGAGGGGGGACGAGGAGGAGGAAGAGGTGGGTTCGTGAAGGGGAAGCCCCAGGACCAGTTTAAATGTCACTCGCCCCTGATGGGACTTGTAGCGCAACGTATTAAAGACTGTGCCACCGCTTCCATCCCTTTAATGTTCATGGAACACCACAATTCTATTTTGAGTATATGGCTGCTGTACATTTCCACATAAATAATTTCGTTGAGCTATCATTGGTGGCCAGGTCGCTTCTGAAAAAGAGCTATATAGTTGAGTGGGCCCTTACCTGGTAAATTTAAAAAAAATAGTTTAGTTTTCTAGTTTATAGGCTATTCAACACAAAAGCCTTGAGATCAATCATCATTCAATCTTTATTTTACGTGCCAACATCGCCCGGAGCAACAGGAATGATAAAAGAAACCCGTCACCGCCTCAGCGGCAAACATCGACGGATCAAAGTAAATTGCAACCGCGCACAAAATAAAGTGCAACCGTGCCCAACGGATAGCGTAAGAAAAATAATTAGCGATTCAAAGTAATAAGCAAAAAAGCGAGGGGGGGGGGGGACGAAGGTTTGCCCCCTGTTAAAATTTGGGGTCGAGATGTACCCAGAAAAAATTGCTTCAGTAATTTTAAATTCAGAAATGGCTTTTTGTGACTCCTTACACAGCACTTCCCGGGCTACAAAAGTGTATTTGTGAGCCAGTGCAATAATAGATGCTAGCTGAATAAACAATGCCTGTCTTTACGCACAGTCGGTAAGCACATCAATGTAACGTGTGCTCAGTCAAACATTATTACTCAACCATTACCACGTGTTAGAGTGCGGGGCAATTTGACCTGGCATGGTTGTCCTCAGTCTAAAATAAGTACCGTACTCTGCAGCACTCAGTGCACCGGGTGTATTAACTCCGGCAACGATTGTAATTACCGGCGAAACGTCATATTCGAATCGCAAATGTTGTGGGTTTACTCTCTCCGACGCATCGGTGTGCTGAACGAATAACGAGTTGGCACGTTTCGTTTACGCGACAACCCTAACTAATGACACGTTTATATTTACGCGAACCTAACCCAAAAAAACCCTCCATTGTGGAGAATATTGGTCGCGAAATCCGACTGATACGTGTTAAACTGACTCGGGCAATTTGGAGAGAGGTAACGAGGCATGAGAGTGGTCTTGCCCACACCACCACATTGTTTGTTTTTTTTTAAACCGATGTCAAGAGGTGCTCGTGAATAACCGTTGCCCCAAGAGTCGATAATGTCGATACACTTTTTGGTTCTTTCGGTAAAGTCACGTAGAAAGAAAATCAATTAAATAATAGAATACAACGTTTCGATTGCAACACAAGCAGCCGTCATCGGGTAAGAATGAATGAGAAAACAAACCGAATGAACTTAGAAATATAATGCAATACAACACAGAGAGTCGGCTAACATAACAGTCAACACCCTACCTGGTTGATTAACGTTCTTCCAAAGATTGTTAAATTTGAAAGAGAGAGACAAAACACAGACACGGAGACACGTAGACACACAAGGAGAGAGAGACACACACAGAGACACAGCGAGAGACACACACATATATACGCTATATCTCTAGGCTACGGTTTATTTTATATATATTTGTTCGTGCATTTTTTGTTTTCGTTTGTGCTCGCTAATGCTTCACAACCGAACCTCGTCGCTAATGGTCGCTCTTTCGTTCGCAATCATATCCCATGTGTAGAGGAGGGGGGGGGCGGTGGGTGGGGGCTGAAGATGGAGCGTAAATGCGTGTTCATCACGATCAGAAGTGGCGTGTTGTGGTATTGATGAGCGAGCTGTGGAACGGCCATCACGTAAAAAAACTTGACCAGACGACCACTACTCACGAGCCTAATGTGAAAAGACAGCAGCATCGCTCGTTGTTCTGTTCCTGTGCTTGCCTATCATGAAAAAAAAAATATTACATAAGTAAGTCAATAGAGGACATTTTGAATGCTCTTATCACTAGACTGCATGCTTTTATTAGGGTTTAACAGTTATTTCCTGATATATATTTCTGTTTTACCTCTATACAGAACTTTGCAATCTTTGCGTGAAAGGTGGTTTAAAAGTGTAAAAAACATTATTAGTATTATATAAATATCTGAATATAGGTCATAAACCCACTGCATGTACAGCATTATAGATGTACAAATATATATTTATAACTAAAAAGTAACATGTCCCGTCTGAATCAATCTTGTATGAAGGAATTCGATTTTTTTAAAATTGGAAATTTGAGTGGAAATACATTATTTGATACTGTATTGTATTTGTTTCTACCTCTGTATATAAAAATTATATTTAGCTTAATTTCACTGCACTCGCTCTGTGGTAGACGTTCTCTCGGCTGTGTTCGCTCCTTCGGCTGGCACTCCATCGTTAATCTTGATCACTTTCCATCATCCCTTCTAGCAATGTGTCCTACCCATGCCCGCTTACGTTTATTAAGAGTCAAAACTACGTCTCTAGCTTGCATAATGTGTTCTACCTCACGTGTTCCTCTTCCTGTCTCTCGTTCTAAATCTCAAGCATGCATTTATCCGTGCATTTTTGCACACATTTCATGTTTCGTTACATTTTGCGACCTTAATAATGACCGTTTTTCACCAAAATTGCGTGTATTTACTTCCCTATGTAATATGTTTTATGATAGACAAGCATAGGAACAGAACAACGAGGAACGGACCAATGTATATAAAGAAGAAGGCTTTAAGTCAGTGTTACAGCATTTCCTGCGAAGGTATATGCATCAAAAGGTGACACTGTTTATTACGAATAAATGCAAATCCTTTTCTGAACTATTATATTAAATGTGACTTGTTTTGTTGTCCACAGAGGTTTCGGATCGAGCAAATATTGGAAGACGAACAGGGACTGACCACGAAGCGGACCATTTAACCAGGGGATTAATAACTGAGATGATCTGCTATCGACTGCCATGCCTTCCTCTGGCAGTGCCGCACCTCCCTCACGGGCAGGCAGCAGTATAAAACGCTCGTCAACACGGAGAAGGCCAGTCTGTTTGCACGTCTGTGCCTTGCTTGACGTCTTAAATGCAGTATACGTTTATGATTTACATCGAACGAGAGGGAGCACGCCTCTGACATAAAGCACTGAGCTGTCTATGCAGTAAGCCTGACGAATATTTGTGTCGATTTTTTTCTACCCCTCCCCCATCATTAACACTCGCCACCCCTCTATCGCTGAAGGGTAAACAAGTTGTTTTGTCCAGCGGCCGCCGAAGTATCAGCCCCACAAAAGCGCAGCGGCGCCGCGTCCTCTCTCACATTGTCAACGCGCGAACACCTACGGGCATTTGGTGACGTGGCCTAGCGGTCGCCCGTTCGCCCCCTCGTCGCAGAGGCTCACAGTTTCGAATGCTACGGCCGCTGCGGGCGTCTGTCGCGAAAGTTACCGCACGTCGTGTGACCTCTAAAGAGTGGACGTTAAATATCCCGCGACGTCGTTGGCAAAGAGGAGGCCACCGTGTTCTGGCGTTATGGTCCGAAACATTGTCAAATTTGAATGCAGTACGTGTACACCGCAAATGACTCAATTTTGTAATACATGCTCTTTGGTTCTTTCGGTAAAGTCACATAGATAGAAAATTAAATTTAAAATGTTGTAATACATGTAACGTATACATAGCAATCATCGCCCCCTACTGCGAAAACTTAGAAGGACCCTCCTCTGAACAAGAGTCGTGAGACACCAAGGTTGTTTTGGTGCAATAATAGTTTTTTTTAAATAATCAGGGTGTGTATCCGCCAATGGCAAAACAAAAAAAATACTTTGAAATGCGATCAATCTGCGGGTTCGCGTTGTGGGCAGCAGATGACAATGCAGACAATTCCATTATTGTGCGGTGCTTCTACGCTCCCACGTTTAAGCTCCCCTCCATTATCAACCCGCCCTAACCAGCGTGGTGAAATACATTCACACCCCGGTATACGTCGGGGATGCGTTCCCGAAAGCGGCGACGTGGAACATCGAAACGACGCGAATCAAAGCGATTCACAGGGTACGGTGGAGGCGATGGCAGACGGATACGAGAAAGGACGGATGATGCTGCTAGCGACGTAAGCGTGGGTTGAGGCAACGCAAATCAGGTAGTGGTGTTAAAAAATAAAGTGACGACGTATTTGCGAAACGACGTTAATGGGTGTGGAGGGTGGGGGGGGGGACGTAAATCGGGGTATTACTGCATTTTGAAAATAACCGCACCACGACATTCACGGCGTGGGGAGGTCTTCATCCAGCAGTTGATCGGCATAAGGGCTGTACATGTGTGCATGATACGACGCCTAGTTCCGAACCTTACCCGGGGCATCTCCCAACGTGTGATGCTGCCGCTCCATCCATGGAAAGTCGCGGTCCCTCGGGAGACAGGATTACTCATTATGACCTTCATAGTGTGGCCACAGCGGGGGTTTTGTTTTCGCTACGGAAATCAAGACGCGTTAATCCCCCCTCGTTTCGTGGCACTCACGGCGTGGTTCCAGCGAAGAGGGAGCTGTCCCGTTCAGCACCACCCCAATGAGGCTGCTGTCGCCACAGTCAGCGTAAACCTGTGATATTGTGTATGGCTTTTCTAAGCCGCTGAAGAACTTAAAGGTAAGCAGTGTGTGTGTGTGTGAGTGCGTGTAGTCTATAGTTCTTTTGTTTTGTGGGGAGCGATAGTGTAGCGGTTAGCGCGCTGCGCTATGAACCTGGCGACCCGAGTTCGATTCCCGCTCACGGCCAACACCAGTGACGATTATCTGAACCGGTCCCGGGCCTCCCCTAGGTCGACTCAGCCTCAAATGAGTACCTGGTGCGGTGTGTAAACATTGCAACTAGGGAGACAAAGGCGGTCGGGCGTGGTGCTGGCCACCCACCCCCTCGTGTACCGTTCCGGCCTTCATAGGTGCTCGCTAACAGCACTTGCCCCTACAGTCTGTTAAGGCTATATGGGGGATCTTTGTAGTCTATAGTTCTTTTTTGCAGTAAGAGCTTAAAAACTGTCGCAGTAATTATTAATTGCCTTATGACGACTCCGGTCAACAGATATGCAACGATGCACGCATTATAGCCATTGCAATGCGATTTCGAATCATAGCTATTAGGATGTTATTTCGTTTTTTTTTCCAAATTGTAACAACGTTTTGCGTCAATAATATGCACTTCACACATCACGCGGCAGTAAATGTCAGTATAATGTGATCAGAGCACCAGTACCTAACGCTTACTGTACATAATACATTTCCACACAACACACAAAATAATAGAAAAATGTTAAACATTGCCAAAGCGGATAGTTAAATCAATGTAATGTAACACGCCACCGAACACCAGTTTGAGACTAACACGATTCATAACCCCCTGCTAAACTTCAAACAAGTTATTTCTGCATTATCTTTTTTTTTACTATTTTTTTCCCGGAGAGCAAGGAATGTATATCTCCGCAAAAAAATATGATTGAATACTTGTCCTCGTGTTGCAGATACTATCATCTCCATCTGGTGGATACAGAGGGCGCTACATCAGTCAGTGCAAGCACTGACGGTTGCGTTTAATCGCTGCGTCGATGTCATTCAATTGCCAACTTTAGACGGAATGTACTCCTATGTCCTACACGGGGAGGGGGTTGCATTGCGTTGAATGAGCCGCATAGGGTGAGACACAATTATACCGTCACGTTTGGGTGGAGGCATCGTTTGTGTTGTTTGAAGAAGTAAAACTTAATATAAGACAATGCATCAGACGGCCCCGTGGCTTTGTTGAAGCCCTAGAGCCGGTACCCCTGAGAATTTCGACTCGATCAAATATACATTTTTCAAGTGATTAAACATTATCTAAAGCTTTTAAACCTAGACTCAAAACTTGATTCTTTAGAACTGCTTTTTTGCGTTTAGTCTGTTGCCCTTCGATTAGCACGGTTGACGACGTACAGTGCGAAAGATGTTCAACATCCAGTGCACGCAAACATTATTCATAACGTTTGCTCGGGTCAAACGGATGACGTACAAACACTTGGTTGCAACCGCTCGTCTGTAAATCTTGAGCTCTTTGAGCGGCGGTGAATGTCGAGCGGCGTTATGTAAGACGAAGGTTGAGGCGGGGTATTGTGCAGACAAATAGAATCCGCACAACAGGATTAATCCCGGCAAACAAGTCAGCGTTGTGGCCCAACGCTAACTTGCATAAGATCCGCCCGACAAATCACCGTGGCGGGCAATAACCATCCGCACTCCTTCTTGGGGTGCGTGTACCTACCTCGTATCTCTTTCGCACGCGCAAAAAAAAAATGCGACGCAAAAGTACACGAAATAAATCAAATGAAACGCAACATTATGTTTCAGTTTCCCGGCTGTAATTCCACGCTAGGGCCAACGAGCTGGCTGGGTGCACGCGGCGGCAGGTGGTGGATTCTGTAAGTGGAGAAGCTCCAAATGCTGTGCGTTATCACTCACTCGGTCCACTATTTGCTCAGCTACATCATTCTATAAAAGCATTGTCTTTGTGACTGCCTCGGTACATAAACAAGGAGGGAGCCGAAGCTTCTACTGGGGAGATGCCCTCTGCATTCATGTGACGCTTTAGAACGCCACGGGGGAGCATCTTTACTGTGCGTATGAGTTGTGCGAGTCCTGTGTGGTTCTTAATCTACATGCGATGTTGTTAAACAGCACACGTTAGGCGCTGTCCATTGGCTAGCATTTAATAGTCCAGATTTGTCTTGCTTTGCCGCTGGATAATTTTGTATTGGGAAAACCCAATAGGCAGATGACTCAGAGCTATGTCATTTGCATGCGGAGATAGAACGGACGTCTGTTTATATGTTATTCCCAGTAATGATTAACATCAATGCATAATGACTTTGTATGTAATGGATAGTTCACGGGTTTTAGATGACAATTAGATAGTATTTGCGTATTCTGTTTGGTCGCGAGTTTAAATAAATCGATAGAAAGTGAGCCCTGTTGAAATCTGCCCCAGGTTGGTTTAAGGATTTGACTGCGGTGGTGGCACACTGAGACTGAACGACCTCTTTGTAAAGCCGTGATTGTCTCAAACCACTAATACAATTACACTGGCTGCGGACCATGATCTGGATTAGATAAAAAAAAATACGTACACACATGAGCGTAATTATCTCCTTGATGAAAACACTTACAGAAAAGCAAAATTTGTATGCCTATCGCACTATGTATATTTCAGTATATCATGGAAACAAGTGTGCTGGTCTGGTCTATTCTAGTCAAATCTGATGGAGGCCTTACATTAAGTGGAAACGAGAGTCTACATTGCAATCATTTAATGGTCCATCATCCACATCATGCAGAGTATGAAAGGGAGGTGATGTATGTTACGTAACGCAAGACAACGATCATCGCGCGAGCACTCTCACGCTTTCTCACGCGCTCTCTCAACGCAGACTGCATGTGCGATGATTAAATCTGAGAGCTGCTGGCTTCGTGGTGGACATAAAATAAAATGCACACGCCATGTTTTCGCTTTCGATGTTGCGTGGCCCGCGATTGGGCCATTCTCGCGAAACGTCATGACCCAGTGACGTAAAGTGGTTGGAATGGGCCCTGCTATATGGAATAAAGTAGGTGGGCTATCCGATGCGTCACCGTCTCCGTAGCCTGGTGGACGGACGCATTCAGCCCGTGAGCCCCGGTGCGGTTACAACCGCCTGCAAACACGGTAGCTGGCGCCACTGCTACACGCACGAAACAGCGCAGCTGCCCGTGGTATATCCAGACGACGCCGCTCACATTGGGGCAATGGGTCACGGCAGCAGAGCCGCCAGCAGAAATGCTAGACACCAACCCAGCCTTCACTGATATGCAGTTGGCCATGGGTTCGATCCAGACCCTGACTCCTGTACATATGGAGTCGGCGTGTTCTCTCTCCCCGTTAATGGTCGCGTGCATTTTCCCCTGGGTCCTCCGGTTTTGCGCCCCGTAATTATAAACGTGCGTCTACATTATTTGGCCACGACTATAAATCCCCACGTTTGATATACGCCACTTCGGTGAGCTGTGACGTGTGGCCAGGTTGCCTGTGAGAAAAAAGCGAACAGCGGAGTAGGCTTGGCCTGGTAAAATTAAATGCAGTAGTTTAGCTTCTGGTTCGTGTGCGCTGATGGACAGTGCTGGTCATTTTCAAACTTGATTTTAAAACATGATTTTTTTTAAGTTTTCTTGTGTTTTTTTTTTTCCGGGAGGGCAAAGACATCCTGACTCAAGTCCTGCCGCACCCATCACCAGCATTATCTCTATATTATTAAGATACTGTATACATTTTTATTTAAAGCTTTCGTGACTGCAGGGATTCATATTCTTGGTTCTTTCGGTAAAGTCACGTAGAAGGGAAACAATAAAATAATAAAAATATAAAAACAATAAAATTCTCACAATTTTATTAAAATTCTGACAATTTTATTGTTTTTATATAAAATTCTCACAATTTTATTGTTTTTATATTTTTATTATTTTATTGTTTCCCTTCTACGTGACTTTACCCTTCGGCGTGGCTTTGCCGAGGGAGCCAAGATATGAATGCACATTACAATTCCTTATAGGGGAAACACATACTA